AACAGTATGTCAGGGTTAAGGTGAGACGTACACAAATATAAGTGAAAACATCCAAACGTAACTATTTTGATCTTGTTCTTAAAGTTTTATGAGGAGCAGCCCACCAGAAGTCAACAAAATGAAGAGAAACACAGGATTATTTTGTTCCATCATGTCTCAACACTAAACACTGACTAAATATAAAGAGTCTGACTTTAACATGTGCCTCTTTGATCCGTCATATGAGCCAAATTTTCATTATATTTTAATGTAAACACAGAAACGAGAGGGACTGGTGTAAAAATACTTTCAAAGTGGCAGCAACAGTAGAATTCCTCATTCTGGATTATACTGATTCACATCATGTGCAAACAGTCCTGTCATGATGAAGCTGGAGAACGTAGGGCTGCTTTGAACTACTTTCTGTAATACTGCTGGGCAGCCTCATCTAGAAAACGTTGGTGTTTGTTTTACTGAGCATTAAGCTGTTTAATTAATGTAGGAGATTAAAAATGCTGCATTTGTTTATTGCATTTCTGAAGCAATATATCCAGTTACTCTATCACTGCTGCTACGTACATGTCATGTTTTCTAAAACTTAGTGCTCGTGAGGTTTTCACAGTTCAGGAAGTGACCATAAAAAAAAAAAAAACAAAAGACAACAATGAATCTGAAATGTTTTATTTAAAATTATACCACAATAACAAGATGAAGTAAAAGTTTTAAGATTTAAAGCAATGACATGTCAAACAAAAAAAACCTTCCAAGCCCTCTTCAGGTGAAATAAACACTAGAAATGACCTCCACAGTGGGCGTGACTACCTGGAATGACGGGCCTGATCCAGAAACAACTAATATGAACCGCCTACGTTAAAGTTTAGGACTTCAGGGCTTTAGTTGGGTATAAAAAGAAGACTGAACTACTAATGTAATTAAGACAATATGGCCCCTTCAGTGTATTCTCTATTGCTCCCCCGTGTTTAAAAATAGAAGAATACCACATAATGATCCCCTACGAGGGCAGCCGAGGACGAAGATGAGCGACTGGTTCTGATGCAGCTGACTGAAATAAGGGCGATGCTGCCTCTGGGTTGTGAGAATGAAGCCCGCGATGTCCGACACAGAATTATATGCAAGTCCAAAAACTGCAACTTAGCCGGAACATCCTCTGCATCCACAGTGGGTGCACTCGATGATCCGTCCCTACAGAGAGGAAAGACAGAGCAAGTTAGAGCCGCTTATTTCTCACTTCAGATTGTCGCTTCTTAAAATATCCCATCCAGCACTCACACATGCTCGCTCTGTCGGGCACTTTTCTTTCACTGTTTACAGTTTTAAACACCTTAAAACGTACATCGTCACAGTAACGTATGCTGCACACCCGACCTGCTCCACAGCATTCAAACTTCTATCACTTATCACTCCTGGAAGATCTCATGCAGGGAAGGCAAGAGTGTTAAAAAGATAAAAGCCCTTTCTTTCCCTGATGAGTACAGATATGAGATATAGATTCTCTTGCTTTATCTTCTGCCTGTTGATGGCAAGTCATTTCAAAGCAGTTTTATTTCTCGGTACATTTCATAGAATCCTAACAGAGATTAAAGCATGAAAGTCTTGTGCTTTCTGACGTGATTAGATCTGCAGTACTTATGAGTTTGAATTGTTTTAATATTATGTGAACTGTTTAAGGCCTCCAAGGTGAAAGAATAAAACTGTCCTACACGCCGTAACAATACATCTAACAAACACATATAATGTAATAAACAGCTGTGATGACAGTCAGATCTTGATAATGGGGATGTGATACTGAGAGGTTTATGAACCGACACATTCACACAGTCTGCAGTCTTTTACCACCTTTCCTTCCTGCTTTGGCTGCAGCAAAAGTGTTACTTTCGTTCTGTGCTATGATTTTTAATTTCCTCATTTTTGTGTTTAGGGAACATAGTTTGTTCTTCTTGGGAGAAACATGCAGCTCTAGACCCGTCTGTGTTTGGTCACACGGTCCCTTCAATATGAACCCACTTATAGCTGCGTTCAGAAAACCTTTCATGAGTTTTGTGTCACCACTTTCCACCAAACCGGTTCCAGTGTTAGTTCCGTGCTAGAGTCTGACTTAGCACCAGTTCTTTGTGTCTCCACCGCCTAAGCACCGGCTCCAGGTTCTCAGAACTGGTGCTTGTCAGGCACCAACTCTTTGCTGGGCCAGAGCTGAGTACGTCAGGGTCTGGGGGCGGGACTATCGTGACCACCGAGTCCCCTAAATGGGACACACAAGCGGTGATTGTTGTTTTTCACCAGGACGTCTCTGGTCTGATCACAGATGTATTGGAATGAGTTCAGGGACACATCAAGGTTTTACACAAACTGTTGCCCTGACAGCCGGTCCAACTGTGTCCCACCAGCAGCACCACAGTGGTGGAGAACAGGACTTTTATAACTTCAGTATTTACGCTCAGAAATGAGGTCCTCTCATGAAAAATGGAGCGCAGCTACATGCTGTTTGTTCCGCTCATGGAAAAGACCACATGAAAAAAAAATCACTCGCCCTGGTTCAGACTTTTTAAAGTCATCTCTGGTCGCACATCGGTCTGAGCACCGTGGCCTCCAGCAGCAGCTACCGCAGTCGATAAGAAAATGTTCAGCAGGTCAGATGTTTTGCCTGTGACCACGTGGGAAGTGCAAACAAATGAGAAAATTGGTCACACCGGTACAGAAAGTCCATCTGGAGTCCTGTGTGGACTTCGTGTGGCACAAGCGTTGTTCAGTAAACGGCTACATATGCAGTGACATATGGCGTGGCTCTAACTTGGCTCCTGGCCGATGGAAAAGCAACCAGGTTCTTAGATTTGAACCAACTAAGCACTGGAACTAACACCAGCATGGAACTAGCAGCTGGTTCTTCTTGGTGGAAAAGGAGTGTCAACATGCCTGCAGCTGTTTGGTTTAGTCAAGCCACATTATTTTTATACAAAGCAAATATAAAGTATCCTCTACATTGAAAGGAAGCGGACGAGCATTTTCAGCACACCTGAAAAAAACTAGTTTATAATTTAATTACATATTTCTGTCATTATATGAAAGTTATTGAGTAACGTCCTCCTAAATAATGTAAATAAACAATCACTTTAAAAATGTCTCACATTTAAGAGACATCAATGTCCAATTTTTAAATTGTTTTTCTGTGTTTATACCAGTTCAGTTTGTTTATTCATTAAACAGAAGAAAATGCCTTGACATGTACAGTGTCTACCAATCACACTACGGTCAGTGTACCGGGAACAAAGACTATTTTCAGCTTCTCCGTGCCAGAGGCTTCCTGCAGGTGTCGCACAAAGAATGTCAACGATAAGATAACACTGACACAGTGGTTGCACAGTTTCATTCTCTGCATGCAGAAGCTGGCCGCATTGTACTGTTTACACTCCAACATCAGCAGGAACAGCTGATGTTTTTATTGAAGCGTGTTTTTATTGAATTGTAAATTTAGTTAAATACATAATTTCAGTAAAAATAAGAATAACTTCTGTCAGACTTACGACTTCGAGCTTGCTCTTGGGCACTCTGCAGATGCAGTTGGTTCCAAAGTTGGTGTCTCGTGTCTGGATGCAACGCAGGCAGCAAAGGTTCTCGTAGCCCTGCTTCTTCCACTTGGCAATCAGGTTCTTGTCTGCATAACCTTCTTTTATACAGTACTCATACAGCTCTGCCAGGACCAACCAGGGAAAGACAACACAGGTTAGTATGTAGGGGTGGGGGGCGTAAACCAACTTTATGACTTTATGAAAGGAAATATGTAAAATGTATGAACAGATTACTATTTAAACCCACCAGGCTTTAAGGTCCCAAACTGAGTCTTTTATACTAAATTACTTCAACTACCAACTATTTCCACTGTTGATTCATCTGTCCTTATTTTCTTGATTAATCAATCAGTAATTTGGACTATAAAATGGTAAAACATGTTGATTAGTGTTTTTCCAAAGTCCCAGATGACGTCCTCAAAGTTTATTTTATCCTCACCACTAGGGATGTCTGATAGTATCGGCCCACCGATATTAGCATAAAAATGTAATATCTGTCAATATTGGGTTTTTTTTGCCTGTAATGAAAACCGATAAAATAACGCCTGGATTTCGCCGGCATTTACCGGCTCACAAATGAGGACGCCCTCAAACTGCATCGTGAAGCGTGTAAACAAGTGCGGCAGCAGCAACAAACATATATCAACAATGGCATCGGTTGATATCGGAATTGGAAATTGAGAGTTGGACAATATTGGCATATTTAAAATTGGCAAAAAAGCCAATATCGGACATCCCGACTCACAACCAAACAAAACTCAGTTTACTGTCGAGAAAAGGAAAAAGAAACCCAGATGAACAGGGACGTGTTCAGTAGCTCGGCTGGTTCTGCTCACCTCTGCTGATGGCTTTCCGTTTGTAGAAAAGGTCGTAGATGTATCGACTCCGCTGATGATGCAGTCTGAAGATCGGCCAAAGGGACTCCACCTTTCGCTTTCCCTCATGAGGCTCTGTTTCAGCTGTGAGGAAAAATCAGGAAAGTTTAAATCAGTGCTGTACCTCACTGGGTAATTAAAACGTCTCTCTGGGTCCGATGTGAATCATGCTGAGAAAAGCAAGAACACATCAGATGCAGCGTTAATAAACACTGGATTTTGGAAGCTGTCGGCAGGGATTTACTCTGCTCCTGATCTCAGGTGATAAGACCTGGGCGTCAGGTGATTGTCCAAACTATCCCTGATGTGCTAGATGAAGTTCAGGTTAGGAGTCTGTAAAGGCGAATCAACATCATCCACAGAAACTGGGAAAGCCGCTGACTTGATGTTGAGGGAATTCCCTCCATCCGTTCCCAAAGTGTTTGCACAAAGTTAGCAGGAAAATTCTGCCTAAAGTACAGCCGCATATACAGTAAATGTACTGTATGTAAACACTAGAGGTGCAAATGATTAGTCAGTTAGTTGTCCACGACGAAATGAACTGTTCTGAGTCATTTTTAAAATTCCGAAATGTGAATATTGTCTGATTTCTTTCCTCTGCTATGTCCGTAGACTGAATATCTTCTGTTTAAGGACAAAAGAAGACATCGGAGGACATCACCTTCAGCTTTGACAAACACAGAACACCACTTTCAGCCACTATCCGAAAAACTACTAATCGATTAATCGAGAAAACATCCAACAGCTTAACAGACAATGGAAATGACGGTTTGTTGTAATCATAGTGGACACTATATGAATGCATAGTTTTGAAGCCTATTTAAAGTAAGACTGTTACAGACGGTAAACAAATGATATTACAATCGATAGTTGTGAAGCAACAGACTTCCCCTCCATGACTTTCCGCTGTTGGAGGTGTCAAGTCATTTTCTAAATGTCTGAAAGCCTCTTTTCATCAGCACTGCTCAAGGATTAATCTAATATACAAAAACAACGACAAAAATAACACACTTGACCGACATTTCTCAGCCGTTTAGAGAAAACACGGCGTGAAACGATGCTTCCAGGCTCACCGCCGAGTGTTTGTGAGGAGCATAATGATTTTCTGCCGGCCTACCTTCTCTCATTTTCTGATCCAGCTCGTCCAAAGTGGGCTCGATGAGCTCCCATCCGTCTGGGGGAGGCTTTCGACTCCTCTTTACTTTAGGCATCTTGCTTTGTTTTGTACAAAATACAAAAAAAAATTGCTCCAACTCAAGTGTTCGATATAGCGTTCGCACTCGACTCAGTCGCGCCAATTAAACGTCATCCGGGGGTTCATGTTACTTCCGCCTCTCTTCTATGACGTCACCACGCCAAATAAACACTCGATTTACCCGCGTTCAATAACTTCTTAATCTTACAGGTTTATGCACTATTCTACTACTTAGGACCCCTTTTTCTTTATTCATTATTATTATTATTATTATTATTATTATTATTATTATTACAGGAAACTCCATCAAAAACAGAATAACATTACACTTTAAACTGCAGTGCCTGGAGTACTGGGAAAATATAAATTAATATACCTATACAACACACAAGAAATCAAGCTGTGCAATGTAAAACAATACATGACGCAAACATTTAAACATCAAGAAATTTGATTAAATTAAAATACAACTTTAAATTGTCATTAAAAGCCCCCCACAAAATGTATAGTAACAAAGAGACTTATCCTTGAAAGGAAGAATGTTGCTCTCACTTATGCTGCTGTTTCTTCTAAACCATTCTATTTCTGTTTTTAAGAATAAACTCTGAACGTGTGGACACCATAAAACACCCAAAAGAACTCTTAAGTTGTGAACTGGATTTCTAGATACCGAATGCTTCCTTTGTAAAAATAGAGCATCTTTAACTGAAAGCGGTGCTTTGATTTAATCTTTTGAACATGGAGCCTTGTTGTCCTCAGTTGTTTAGCCTGTATTCTGAGCCTTGTGTTGTTTGAGTTGAATTTCTACATCATTTTGTGCCCTATATGGCCACATGCCATTATCTTTAAAAAGAAGAAGAAAAATCTCCACAATAAATAAAACCAAGAATAAAATAAAATAATGTAAAATAAAAAGGAAAATCAAAAAAGAAAAAAACAAACGAAAGAAAAACAACTAAAACTAAAATTAAGAAAACCACAAACAAAATAAAATAAATAAGGAAAAACAGAATCTAACTTAAATAAAATAAAATAAAATAAATAAGGAAAAATAGAATCTAGCTAAAATAAAATAAAATAAAATAAAAACCAACATTGAAAAATAAAATAAAATAAAACAAGAAAAAACAAAAGGAAAAAAAATAAATTAAACTAAGAAAACCAAAAATAAAATAAAATAAAAAATAAACAAGGAAAAACAAAATCTAGCTAAAATAAAATGCAAAAAAAATAAAACAAATAAAATAAAATAAAATAAAATAAAATAAAAGTGAAATCTAACCGGTGTGGTACTGATTCTGCGCAGGCCATCTTAAACGAGCCTATTGCATCACTTTAGCACACTTGCAAAGTGCCTTAGGATAGATAATGTGATTTTTGGCTCCTTGTGCTCAATTACTAACGTCACGACGACATGCAACCAGAAGCATTACGACTATTTTCACATTTGGTTTACAGCAGCAAACATGTTTACTGTCGTCTTGAAAAGGTTCCTCCACTTCAGATTTCTTGACAGGCAAATCCTCGAGCTACTAAATCTATTTTGCTGCTCATCGCATCTGTGAGTTTAGCCAGCTGTCAGTCTGTGCTGCCGCCTCAACATTCTGCTTTTCTGTCAGTGTTTACGGGCTAGGGAGTATCTAATAAAGGCGTCGTTTGTCAAAATGCCCAAAGGAGGTAAGAACTGGCTGAACGCTCGCTGCAGTGTGTTCACATGGGTCCTTTTGTACATGTTAGTCAGCTGTTAGCCTCCAAACAACAGGTAGCGACATAGTGCTTATGTAGCACAGTGCTCGTAACAGACATGCCTGAGCTGTGGACGGCGCTGAAACACTGCTTCATTCGACACCTGTCCGTCCTCAGCTCTGCACCTGTGCTGTACCAAGTGTGTTCAGATCTGTGTGTGTGATGTCATTCTCGTGACGTTGCAGGTAAGAAAGGTGGCCACAAGGGTCGCGTGCGGACGTACACAAGCCCAGAGGAGATAGATGCCCAGATGAAGGCAGAGAAGGAGAGGAAAAAGGTTGGTGGAGCGACCATCCAGAGGCCGTTTAGTCACCTGCTTCAGTGTCCCCCAAAATACTGGAGCCCAACACTTTCTTTAACACAACAGAAGAGCATTTTTCATTTACACAGAGCCAAATCAGAACAGAAGTCATCTCAGAACACTTTATACATTAAGGTGACAGCTTTGCAATATCACACGTTTGAGAGAAACCCAACAAATTCTCATGATTCCTTTTGGGTAGCTGTGTGGCAATAATGGAAAGCAAACACTCCCTCCTGCAGGACCAGACTGGAGGGCAGCCACCTGCCTCGAGGGTAGTCTGACACAGGCTGCAGGTGTCTCAGTGGTTAGCACCGTGGCCTCACAGCTAGAAGGTCGCCGGTTGGTGTCCCGGTGAGGACACCCGGGATCTTCCTGCATGGAGTCTCCATGTTCTCCCCGTGCAGCGTGGGTTCTCTCCGGGTTCTCCGGCTTCCTCCCACAGTCCAGAAACATGCTGAGGTTAATTGGTGATTCTAAATTGTCCGTGGGTGTGAATGTGAGTGTGCTTGGTTGTCTGTCTCTAAGTGTAGCCCTGTGATAGACTGGTTACCTGTCCAGGTGAACCTGCCTTCACCCTGAGTCAGCTGGGATAGACTCCAGCCCCCCATGAGTGAGGATGAAGGTGTAGAGATGATGGATGGATGGATAGTCTGACCCACCAGATGTAGATCACAGGAATAAGTCTGCAGCACATTTCATGCCACTTCCTCCTTTCCTTATGCTACATACGTGCTACCGTTTGGGAAACAACAACAACCTCCAGGCAGCAACCCACCATGCTGTAAATTTCAAGTTTTCACCGAGGATTTGAATCGTACATAATCCTGATAGTTGTTTTTGGTGAATTATCTGTTTTGATGGCAGTACTGCATGCAAGCATTCCACCAACACAGCTCCCCCGTCACCATTTTGCAGGAACACTGTCTGTAAAGGGACAAAACAGGCCAACAAAGCACAAGAGTTCAGTCAACACTGGGGAGGTTGGTGAGGCTGCAGACCCCAAACTACATCAGAAAAAACACACAAAGTTAGTGACATGAGGTGCTCAGTGCATCATGGGAAGCCCCCCAGCCGAATAAACTAGTTTTTCATCTTTACTCTTAGACATGCAGTTAAACGAAGGCCGTCCTAGAAACCTGTTTTGCGTGTGAGTTAAAGGACATATCCTGGTCAAAGTTACAGTAATGCTTCGAGTCATCCAGACCTTTATGTCTTTAAAACAAGTTGGAAAAGTGAACTACACCAGCTGATGTTTGATGTTGTGCGAGTCACCCTGTAAGATCTAAAACCACCACTACTGCTGCTAATGCGCGTTGTTTGCATTTTTTACAACTCCATGGAGTTAAAGCCATCGTCCTAAATATGTTTTTCCTGTCACAATGTGTTTGCATGTGTTTAACCTGGCTCTTTGTTTGATCACGTTCTCACCTTTTAATCCTGGGCATCATTCATGTGTTATAGCAAGAACAGGAAGCAGCGGAGGCCGAGGGCGCAGCTCAGAATGACGCGGCAGAAGAGAAGCTACCGGCGTCCGGATCGGATGACAGCGACGATGAAAATTCCCTGGTACCGCCAATACTGTTTCAGTCACACACCTGCTCTGCTTCTTCAAATGAAGAATGAATTATTGTGCTTAATGTGCACCTGTGAAGCTCTTCTGGCCTTTTACATGCAGTCATGTCAGCGTGTCATTGAAAATATTCCCTTTTACGTCGTATGATCTGCTGTCATGTGTTTGCAGAGGAGGAGAGCTGGTGTGGAGGGCTTGATAGAAATCGAGAATCCCAACAGAGTGGCTCAGAAGTCCAAGAAGGTGACGCAGATCGAGCTGGAGGAGCCCCGGCAGTTATCGAGGAGGGAGAGGTGTGTGCCTTCAGCTGGTTTTACAGCTTTTGCATATAAACTGTACGTCATTTGGGGTAGTACTTAACTCTATGGAGCACCGATACAAACAGCATGTTTAGCAGCATATATTAGGAGGTCAGTAGTTTGTTCTTGATGGTTTTACGAACTGCAGGAAAGTCAGGAGACACCAAAGCAAACAGAACGATACCTTCACCTGCATTCTCACTCACATTAATCCCAGTCAGCATGTTTGATTGAGGCTTTCCTCATGTCGCTTTCTACACCTCGACACAGAGAAGAGATCGAGAAGCAGAAGGCGAAGGAGCGCTACATGAAGATGCACCTGGCGGGAAAGACGGACCAGGCCAAAGCCGACCTCGCTCGCCTCGCCATCATCAGGAAACAGAGAGAGGAGGCAGCAAAGAAGAAAGAAGAAGAGAAAAAAGGTAAGCAGCCAGAGGTAGGCAAGCATTTCATAGGGTGACTGTCATAAATATTGAGTGTCCTGATCCAGGAAAGCACCATAAAGGTGATAATATGATAACAACCCTGATGTGGCTGTGAAAGTAAGAAAGAACGTAAGTGAGAGTTAGAGCAGCTGGAGGATTCAAAGGTTGATATTCAGTATGCTTTGTTTATTTATTATCGTTAATGACAGGACTCTGAGCCCATATTTATCGAGCATAATCTATCAGTAGGACTTGAAAGTGTTTTTTTAAAGCTTCCTGGGTGTTCTGGTTCGGATGCTGACCGTGAACTGCAGCTTCCCCAACCCAGGCAGGGACAGTTTTACACCTGTGTGTCCCTCATGTCCTATCATCTCTCCACTATTGTTATTATTATGAGGATTAAGGTGTAGAGATGACAGATGGATGTTTGTAAAGTAGTCATGAAATTATCATCGCATTTTGGATTTGGACCCTCTGAACAGCTCGCTATAGTTTAGATTCAGTCTTTATTTATTGGTGCATCAGTACCGTCTAGTTCTGTGTGCATAACAAGCAGCTCGTGTGCACCGTGGCTGTCTCCATCACTGCGATGTTTACGCGTGAATAAAGCCGTGAAAACATTAACATTAAAGTTCCCTATGATGGAATAACAGGTTGCTGTCACTTCAGCAAAATGACGAGGCAGCAGTGTTACCTACCTCATTTCTGAAAAGGGTTTAAAGTAGAAAAAAAGATGTGACGTGCTGGTAGATCCTAACTGATCCTGTCTCCATGTTAATGAGCTTTCTACGTACTGTGTACACATCAAACATCACACAGCTCTGTGTTGTCTCTGAATGAAGCTGTGAGAAACAGCAAAGCTGACAAAAAGCTCTCAGACCAGGGATTAAAAGTAGCACCAAAAGTACAGTTAAGACTGATTCAAGATGTTTGATAAATTTGGGCAATTGTGTGTTTTTCTTTGTTTTTTAGATCCAGTCTGCTGCAAAAGTTAGTGATTGATGACTTTGTTGGGATTCCAGAGATGATTTAATGTCATCCTGGCTTTAGTATTTTAATTGTTTGTGGCTTGTGCTGCTCTTTAATCAGCCCTCCTTTGCGCTGCCACTGCTCAGCTTGTGTGTCCTGACGTCACCGGGCCGAGCCCGTAACACGTGTCTTTAACTTTCCTCCTGCAGCAAAAGAAGCGGCGGCAGCAGCGGCGAGAGGAGTGAACTCCCTCTCACTCAAATGATGCAGAGTATTTATCAGAAGCACTTTCACTCGTTCATGGACTGGCGCAATACATATTTGACTATTTTTAAAGGAAGATCTATGAAGAGTTTTTGACGTTACTGTAACACACGGCCACTGGGAGAACGGTCGAGGAGGCACCGGTGGATGAAGGTTGTGTATATTTAAATTAACGGCCTTTCAGAAGGTAAAGCTACATTTGAGAAAACTTCGGTCTTCATGTACACTTGGATTGAACCTCTTGATATTAACTATGGTCTACTTATCAATGTACAATTCCAACTTTGCTAACTGAGCTTTGCCACTATGGTTTCTTTTGTTTGTTTTTGTTGGGGGGGATCTTACCTTGTACATAACTGACTCGTGAAGATATTTCAGATTAACATGATGAAACCAGTGAAACATGTCTGTTCATTTCTTTGATACATGTGAGACACCTGTGATGTGGTTTTATAACAAGCTTCCCCGACCTCAGAGTCCACACTGGTTCCACTGATCTGGAAATGAAATGAGTCAGATGTTTACTTTGGAAATGTGGAACTGAATTGGAAGAGAATTTACGGGGATATATATATATATATATATAAAATAATATATTTGAACAGGAATGTCACTCAAAGTATTTTTGAGATTAAAGTAATGTGATGGAAAGAGGGACGGGACATGACCTCAGCATTTCTGAAATCCTGATGGCTTAATAAAAGATTCTAAATGTGTCCTAGTGCCCGAACTTGGTACACAACATGAAACAAATCTGCAAACGTTGGTGTGATTATTTATTTATTTTTTTTTTTGAAGGTTCACGTGAACACATCTGTCATCAAATATGAAATTGTTAGTATGTATTTGGACTGCAGGTGGCTCAGTGGTTAGCACCGTTAGCGCCTCACAGCTAGAAGGTTGCTGGTTGGCGTCCCGGTGAGGACACCCGGGATCTTTCTGCGTGGAGTCTCCATGTTCTCCCCGTGCAGCGTGGGTTCTCTCCGGGTTCTCCGGCTTCCTCCCACAGTCCAGAAACATGCTGAGGTTAATTGATGATTCTAAATTGTCCGTAGGTGTGAATGTGAGTGTGCTTGGTTGTCTGTCTCTAAGTGTAGCCCTGCGATAGACTGGCGACCTGTCCAGGTGAACCTGCCTTCACCCTGAGTCAGCTGGGATAGGCTCCGCCCCCTATGACCCTGGTGAGGATGAAGGTGTAGAGATGATGGATGGATGGATGGATGGTACATAATATGATAACTCGGCTGTGAAAAGGGTTTGAAAGAGTGAAAACTTAACACTGAAATTATGTAATAATTCTAAATATATCACTTTATAACCACTAAGTTCTCAGTTTTGTACGACATTTACTGACATATGACAAATGACTGCAGGTCCTGTGTTTTATTCAGAATTATTTGACTCCTGAGTCACAGTTTGTGAGCAAATCTTGAGCCCATGAAAAGGTTTTATTGAACCCAAAACTGGTCTTCAGCCAGGAATTAATTGCCAATCGTGGGAGCACATGCTGCTTGTTCAAGCTGCAGCCTGCTGCCTATTTTTAAAAACGTCTGCAGCTGCTAATACCCAGAACTTTATCTGCATTGATAACAATAGTATGTTTTTGTGTAACTTTAATATTTATTGTAACCAGATAAAAACACCAAACAAATCTTTGCAGCTGTAGTGGAATCAGGCGTCACATTCAGGTGATATTGTGTCTAATGTTCAGTTTTCATGTGATGTCTGATATCCTTGACTATAATTTACATGATTTACTGATAGACTTTAAATATAAAATGTGAGAAAGAGTCTCTTAAAATGATCCTGTGGGCTATTTTATTTAAAATAAAACCCGAATGAATGAATCAAGTAATTTTGATGCTCTAAGAAATTCCAGTAGGAGCTGATTTTTGGGACTGCGTTATATATGCATTATAAATGATGTCGTTACTGTCTTTTAACGCCGGGCCCTCACCAAACACACTGACGACGACTGAATCCAGTTTTATTTACTGTACACCTGCAACCTAGAATAACCTGCAGAGCTATCTAACACCTGAAGCCGGACTCATTTTTATGCTTTTCAGGTTTTTAATTTCATCTCATTTTACTTTCAGCAACTTCAATCTTACCTGATTCACTTAAAGCATAAGCACGCTTATTGATTTTGTTATTATTATTTTACTAAATTTGTCTTTTTAAAAATATTTGTTTTCCAAGTTTTCTTATGTGTGTGTTATTTTCCTACTGGGCTGCATTAAAAAACAGACCTAAAGGGTTAAATGAATGAATGAATGAATTTAAGATATTTCAACCAGTAAAAAGAAATGGATTGGTCATAATGTAGGCCACAGAGCAAATGGAACAAAGCAGAGATAAGATATGCCTTTATTTATCTCACAGTGCAGAAAATCACATTGTTGTCAGCAGCAGCACACACACAGAGAAACACACATACTAGACAGAAAAATGTACATATAAGAAATAGTGCAAACACAAATATAAAAATACACAAAAAAAGAGAACAGTGCAAACATAGAACATACAAATGAGGATATATAGAAAAGATATAGAAGATAAGGAATAATAATAATCATAATCATAATAAGCAATGCAAATGTAAATATACACATATGTACATGTCAGAGATGTGAGGACGATCACAAAACTTCTATACCGTTATCTGATCTGTTTGATCAGATAACGGTATAGAAGCAGTGCGCGCTCCCGCTGGCGGCCTTTAGCAGGGGAACACTTTACGGCAGAACACCGGTGTTGCGTTCAATCTTGTACCTCATCGAATCCTGTGACCTGACGCGAATGGCTGTATTACCTCCTGACTAACTAAACTGTATAATTTGGTATCGTATAAGGTTTTTTAAGTTTTTAATGTGTGATTTTATTTTTTTAAACTTTATAGTAGATGTGAAGTTGTACTGAAGGCGCGACTGACAAACCGGAAGCGGTTCCAGCGCGGACGGTGGCGGCAACGAACCAGAACGTGCCGCCTGAAAATGCGAAAGAAGAAGAAGAAGAAGCGCTTCGCGGATTGGTGGAAAGTTTGGCGGACTTTATCCCCGCGACGAGCTGGTTTGGTTCGTGACAGTTCATGTCAGGCTCCTGAAGGCAGCGGCGGGACTTTCCTCTGGCTGGTGAGTAAACTGGGTAACGTTTAACAGGCAGAGCGCATCTCCATGGAAACCAGTTTGTGAACGAGTAGATCTTAAAAAAAAAAAAATTAAAAATTAAAAGATAAAAAAAAAGAAAAGCTGCTTTGTTTGTGTATTTTCCCGCTACGTGCGCGCGAGCAGCTGCAGATGCGTCTTTAAAAACAAAAAGCTGCTCAGGATGTGGCTGCTGGTGCCTGTGGGTGTTTTTTTTTTTTTTATTGCTAGTGGTTGATTTTAACAGAAAGTCAACAGGAAGTGGAGAAAACGCTTCATATGTACTGATAAACCTTCTGACTAGCGTTGTATGCATTATGCCAAATATATAGGTTTGTTTTTGTAAAAAATTGGCCCAGAAAGTTAATCACAACCCTGCAAACAGGAACCTTGAAGCAGCTTTCTCTGAACATCACAATCCGTTTTAATCTTATTATAAAGTGTGTAATGAAATTGCACATGACTTTGCTCCTTATGTGCAAATAACACAGTGATATGCACATAAAATCACATAACCAGCTGGTGCAGAGTTCTGTTGATGGCATTTATTGTGCAGGGTTGCAGGTGAGGTGCATTCAGTGTCTCTCCTCCCAGACACCACCGTTGTGGGTCAGCCAATCCACAGCAGATAACAGCGATGACAGACAGACATGGGCTCGCCTGTTGAGCAACCGTGAACAAATGTGTGGCTGTGCTGCAGGAGACTTTAACTTCAGCACAGGACAAACAGTCTGAGATAAAGGTTTCAGGAGAGCAAACACACCCCCAGAGATCCTCCAACTGTAAGCTCCACGCAGTCATGAGAGTGTGATGCAAGTTAACAGATAACCAGCCTTAAGTGATCTTTTGGAGTTCATTTGCTTTTTTATGCCTGTGTAATGGTTTAAAGGTTGTTTTGACACCGTGGTCGGAGGATTACAATGCTCTCTTTTGTCTGGGGCTTTAACAGTCGCTGCTCATCTGCCATCATTTACTCGTCACTACAGCTTTAATGGTTTACTTCATGTGGCCACAGGGTCATTCTGTGTCAGCTCAGCCAAGGTGGTTGCTTGACCGTCTCAGAATCTGTTGAAACTGACACCTGCCCTTTTTTTCATATTTTTTTAACGCAATAGAAATGTTCAATAAATCTCCCACGACTTGGAATTAAGCAAGATGACGCTTTCAGATGTCTCTTGAAGTATATGTCCTGGAGTCTTAAGACCTCCCAAATTCAGGATTTGTTCAAATAAAGTGGATTGTCAAAAAAAAAGGAAAAATCTGTCTCTAATACACAGGATCTATTTGATCAGTTTGATTCTGAGAGTCATATCTGAATGACTTTACTAATGTTTATAAAGCTTTCATATGTAGAAATGTGAGTTATGGCCAATCAAAATTGACACAAGTAAAAAAGTAGTTAATTTCCAAACGGCCTGATGAAATTCAGGATGGTAAGAGATGGAGGTGTCATCTACATGTGTGCCAAGCTTCAGTATCCTTCCATAAAGCCTTTGTGTTAAAATCATTCTGCTGCTGACTGTTATGATTAAATGGAAGAGATGGTGAGGGTTGGCCTCTGAAACCGGTCAGGAGCATGAAGACAGAAACATTAAGGTAGTTTATGGCATTATGGAAGGATTTAGACTTTATCAGTGGATGGATGTTGATAAGCTGTTACTCGTGATGTGTAACCAATCAGACCAATCAGACAGCGCTGTTGGTGCTCGAGCCTGGAGAGCTACTACAGGAAAAGGTGGCTGCACCGGAGCCAAAGTAGCACAGTGTTAAATTCATTTATTTTATTGGGAATCAGTAAAAAAATACGATAAAACAATACCGATAATCAGAAAAATGCTGCATCTGCTAATCAGTCGACACCTTATAAAAGACTTTGGCCCACTGGGACATTATGTTATGTTGGACTTTCTATATAGTTCTTATCTTCTCTGCAAGTTCAAAGTGTTTTGATTATCTTTAGATTTCCACATCGTGCGAGCAGAAGACCAACAACACGACCATGTCTTTCACAAATGGCCAATGTGTGAGCAAAGAAACATGGGACTCCCACAACAAGATGATGCTGGAGCCTCTGGCCATCAGCGACTCAGAGGTTCGTTCATTGTTCATATATCTATAGTAAAAGACAGAAAACATATTAAATATAATGTTTTTTTTCTTGCCAAGCTTGTGTGTCAGATTGCTGCTGTACCCTGCTGAATGCAGTGTTTGTGTTCCAGGTGTTCTCCATCATTAAGAAGGAGAAGCACCGGCAGATGTACGGTCTGGAGCTGATCGCATCAGAGAACTTTGCCAGCAGAGCCGTTCTCGAGGCTCTGGGTTCCTGCATGAACAACAAGTACTCTGAGGGCTATCCAGGCCAGAGGTACAAGACCGAATCCAGTCCGTTGAATTACTCATGAAATCCCAACCTTTGGCTAAATTCTGTTAGTGGTGCATTAATGGTAACACAAACAAATAACAATAAGTCTGTAGTAATGAAGATGATCTGTTTGTCCAGGTACTACGGTGGTACAGAGCATGTCGATGAGCTGGAGAGACTCTGCCAGAAGCGGGCGCTGGAAGCCTACGGCCTGGACTCAGACAAATGGGGCGTCAACGTGCAGCCGTACTCAGGTATCAAATGTCGATGCACCTAAAACCCAGTCTTCCTCGTTCCTGTCTCGGGTTTGTACCACTGTCGACATATTTGTTTGTGTTTCTCCGTCAGGCTCGCCCGCTAACTTTGCTGTCTACACGGCCGTCGTGGAGCCCCACGGGAGGATCATGGGACTGGACCTGCCTGATGGAGGTCACCTGACACACGGCTTCATGACTGACAAGAAGAAGATCTCAGCAACGTCCATCTTCTTTGAGTCCATGCCGTATAAGGTACAGAGGCGTCACATGTATTTGTCGTTGGGAAATCTACGTTTTGTCAGAGTTTGAAACACATTTCTTTAACTTCTCTGAGTAGTTTGTGTCGTACCGTGCTCACCAAACGATATAAAACTGAAGAAACGATGTCTCTTGTGCATTGGCCACCCAAGATCTGAAAGCTGAAGTTCATTCAGCGAGGTTTCAGTGAATTAAGACCCAAATGAAAAACAGTACAGCATGTAAGTAGAGGAGACACGTGGCTAAAACATGGGCACAGCCTGAAACCTACCTGAAGTTCCATCAGACTGATTTAGTCTAACGGGCTTATAGACACATTATAATGGTTTAAATATGTAGCGTGGTGCTCATGTCGTGTGTATGTGATGTAGCTGATGTGGTGTGTTGGTCACTATGTGGTCCACTGCTTCTGATTCCAGGTGAATCCAGAAACCGGCTACATTGACTATGACAGACTCCAAGAGAACGCACGGCTGTTCCACCCCAGACTCATCATCGCAGGTACGCATGCTCACGTGTGGTGTTGCATGTTTGCTTTCACACATTAATGACCTCCTGAATACATCAGTAGATGCTCGTAAATCAAAGGTAGATGGAAACAAACCCGTTCGTTTGTCTTTTCCAGGAACGAGCTGCTATTCCCGCAACTTGGACTACGCCCGCTTGAAGATGATCGCTAACGAGAACGGTGCATACCTGATGGGGGACATGGCTCACATCAGCGGACTGGTGACTGCTGGGTTGGTGCCGTCGCCCTTTGAGCACTGCGACATCGTTACCACGACAACGCACAAGACGCTGCGTGGCTGCCGTGCCGGACTCATCTTCTACAGGAAAGGTAGAAACTAGCAGAAGTATACCGTTTTACATCGACACTCTGTGATTTCTCTGTTTTTACGTTTGACTTTTGCCTCTCTTCGTGTTTCCTCTCCCAGGTGTGCGGAGTGTGGACGCCAAAGGAAAGGAGATCATGTACAACCTGGAGTCCCTGATCAACCAGGCGGTGTTCCCGGGGCTGCAGGGAGGACCACACAACCACGCTATTGCAGGTACGTCATCGTTCATCAGTGTTAATATCAACAGCTGGTGAGTTAAGTCGCCGTTCGTCTCACTGAGGTGATGCTTTTCACTGGCAGGCGTCGCCGTGGCTCTCAAACAAGCCATGACACCAGAATTCAAGGCCTACCAGCAGCAGGTTCTGGCTAACTGCAAAGTTCTGTCCAGCGCCCTCATTGACCACGGCTACAAGATCGTAACTGGTGAGTGGCTCAGTTTCACCCCACAGAGGAGATCTGCTTTCACTCAGAGATAATTATTATTTACTTACTGTGTTGGGCTTGATTTGCCTTCTGTTAATGCATTTGGAGGCATCGTAACAGTGATCAACGTCAATGGAGTTTCATCCTGAGTCCATTTGTAAAGTTAAGAAAAGCACTCTGATCTATTTAATGCTGCTGCAGCGGCCCACAAGGCTGTTACCGCTGATAATCAAAGCATCCCAAATGTTTCTTATAATATAGGATGAAATAAATATTCTCACCTGAAATGATCATGCATTGAATCTACATATCAATCCTATTATTTTTCTTTTGTCAGTTTCCTACCTTAAGTTAATCATCTACATGTCGCAGCTAAAACTCATCTGACAGCTGTTCAGTGTATTTAGGCATAAATATTTATTCTGCTCAGTAAAAATCTACCAACAGAGATAAATATAACAAGAATAATCAGGCATTAGGACAATAATAAGGGTACAAGGAAATGTACCTTAAGCTCTCAGTCATTGTTGGATTGTAGAGATCGCTCTGAAGGCTCTGTTGTCTCCAGAAAGGGTCCCAAAGATGACAAAAGTAAAAATCTTTAGAGAGAATCTTATGGCATCTAAAGGATTACTGTAGGGGCCTTATTTGAACAGTATGCAGCTTCAGTTAGGAGCGACTCAGGTTCACTGGTTCTGATCGTATCCCAGGGACGCAGATAACAGGCTCAAGGGTTGTTTTTGTCTTCAATAATATCGATTTCTTTACAATAATGCGCTGACAGACCTCGATAGGAGTGTTTCCCTTTACTCATGGTGTAGTTGAAAAAGAAGTTTGTGACGGTAAATGTCTTCAAGTGGTCCATGTGACGTCTACTGATGCTCTCCGTGTGTTCCTGTGCAGGTGGTTCTGACAACCATCTGATCCTGCTGGACCTGCGCAGCAAAGGAACCGACGGAGGCCGAGCTGAGAAGGTCCTGGAAGCTTGTGCCATTGCTTGTAATAAGAACACCTGTCCAGGTAGAGTGTGTGTGATATGTGCTGTTCAGCTTCTGTTTGCATAAAAATCTAACTCATAGCTCGCGTCTGTCATCTCTTACATGTAGCTTGAGATGCAGAGGGATGTTGCAAATGTGTTTTTCCTACAAAGTGCCGCTCTGACTCGTCCTGTCCTTGTGCAGGAGATAAGAGTGCTTTGCGCCCGAGCGGTCTGAGGTTTGGCTCCCCGGCTCTGACCTCCAGAGGTTTGGTGCAGGATGACTTCAGGAAGGTGGCTGAGTTCATTCATAAAGGTAATGTTTTAAAGGTGGCGGTGCTGTTTGTTCCCGTCAGACAGTGCCGCTAACAGGATCAAAAGACAAGATTTTTCACAACAAAATCCATGAACTCATACCCGTGCTGTCCTGCAGGTATTGAACTGACCCTGGAGGTGCAGAGGAGCATGGATCCCAAGGCCACTCTGAGAGAGTTCATTCAGACTCTGGCTCAGGGAGAGAAGTTCCAGCAGCGCGTCGCTGAGATCAGGGCTGAGGTGGAAGCTTTCGCTGGTCAGTTCCCCATGCCGGGCCTGCCCGAGCTGTAGAGGGCAGCAGCTCAGACGCCGGGTCGACGGTGACATGGACGATGTTCTGACAGCTTTGAGGCGTGTTGTGTGGAGCACACGTTTGTCTTAATGGAAGGAAATTTGTGTAACTCGCTGATTTCATTGTTACAGAATCTTTGCTGTTTTAGATTTCGTTTCCTCTCTTTTAATTTCACTCTCAGATGCTGCAATCAAATATAAGCTTTTCTCAGTTTTTTGAGTTTAAAATCCCAAAGTTTCCCAACGAACTACTGAAGACTGAAGCACGAGAAATGACACGAGCACTCTGCATGTAGACGGTGTACATGTACAGTATATTAAGTATGATTTGTTGAATACAACTGCTGTTTTTGCATTCAGATAAAGTGATAATGAATTAAACTTCATGTACTGTGTTTTATCATTCAGTGTGGGTGTGAACACTGTCACAGAGGAAGACGCTGCTTCACGGCTCTGAGGCTGAACTTTGATGCATCAGATCAGAGCTTTAAGTTTTAATGTTATGATAAATAGATTTGGTCAAAATGGCAAAATCATAATATGTTTCTCTGAGTGACTTCAGTTTCCTTATTTGAGGCTGTAAGGCCAAACAAGTTGGGATGGTGACGTTTCCTGGCATTTGAGCTCAAATGGAGACAGAACAAATAGGGTTAAGACAAAATGTAAGACGATCAACAGTCCATTGCATCGACTTTCAGGACAGGACTTGGGGGCATCATGGTTGTTATGTAAGGAAACGCTGGATTACGGTTGCGCTCGAGCTTTTACAACATCTCCAGTTGGAGCCATGCAGGTTCAAATTGGAGAGACGCCGTTGTGTGTTAGGACAATAGAATTGGGTTAATCTGCAGAGGCACGCTAAATCGCACCGCTTGCAGAAGAGCTGGACGCACAGCAAACCTAATTTGTTTTAAATAGTTGGGAATGTGAAAGCAGAAAGTTCACACAGTCTACTGTCCAGCAGCTCCATGTCCAGCTTCCCTCCCAGGCTGCCTGTGCTGTCATCCACTGATTCATACATACAAGCAAAAAGAAACCGAAGTCTAAACCCACACCTGCTTGGTACGTCATTTTGGTTCAAAGGATCCTGACTTACTGGATCAACAGCTTCTGCAGTTTTTATCTCACAGTGTTAGAAAGAGAACAACAGATCACTCATTAGTAAACACAACAGCTGTCTTTCCGCTGCAGGAACTCGAGGCAGGTCCTGTCATCGACCTTCTCGCCCTGTTTACGCTAAACTACAAGGACAAATAGTTACCGGACGCACTTCTAGTTCTAGGAGCACAGAGGAAATAAGATGATGGAGGTTTGTTATGTCAGTCTGATGTTGATGGTGATGTTAGAGAGCAGACGACTGCAACTGGACAAGGACGCTGAGAGGGCAGAAAAAAAGCTTTTCAATCTGGATTGGTCTTCTTCAATCAGCGTTCAGTCCAGAACATCAGATTTACAGGTTACTTTTTTTACCTTTGAAATCAGCCGTGAGAGACATCCTGCAGGGCGGTTCCTGCCATCAGAACATGCATCAAACACTCTTCAAGTTCCTGCAGGAGAAAACGGCTTGTTAAGGACATAATGCAAGGCCTGCAATGGATAGAACAAGCAACCAAAGAATGCATGAATTGCATCTGATAGTTTGTCAGCACCCACGAGTGTCAGATCATGAAAGTCATAGACGTCAACAAGACATTATATGAATAAGGTATCATGTATGCAGGTTATAGACTAAGACTTCTACTGTCTGTAGAAAGGTGTGGAAAGGGGTTGTGGCTGTATTAGATCAATAAACTCTGAAATCACAAACAGTTGATGTGCAGGTTTTATGAAGGAAATCAGACTATAAAGGATCAAAGTGTGGCAGGAATACTGTAGTCACTTTAAAAAGCAGTTCGTGTTTGGAAGAGAGCAGCGTAGAAGCAGGAGGGAAGACACAGAGACTGACTTTGTAGCAGTTCAAAGTTTTTATATTGCTGCCAATAAAAACGTCTGGCCAGTATGTAACACTAGTCGTACTACTTCTATTTATTTTTTTATTCTGGCAATAAAGAATGTGTTTGTGCATGCCGAAGCTCTTGTAGAGACTCTTAAAGGCTGCAAGGAAGAAGTCTACCTCTCGAAACAAGCGGTACAAACTGCTGAAAAATGAGATACTGACCCAGAACCTGCAGCCAAAAGAAAGAAGCTAAAGGCTCGATAGACAAAGTGTGACGTCTGAAGCACAACTAGGAAGCTGTTGATACATGTAAATATTTCAAGTAATTTAATTTGCAACTACCTCCTGAGCTTTATCAACAATTCAGAAAATAAGAACTTACCTGTTGCAGATATTTAATCAGTTATGGGTCACAAAAAAGCTTTTTATACTCTCTATGAGTCTAAGCGAATTACATAAGTGAGTGTTAGAAAATTACTATTGAGCTTATTTGCTGAGAAAACAAACTAACAAGACGCTGTACCAGTGTACCAGCCCAGAGCAAGTAATGGGTTCAGCCTCTAACTTCTAATAAAAACCCACAAGTCCACCACTGATAACGAGTGAATGCCCGGCTGGGCCGTGTACACATTATGTAATCAGGAAACTCTGGTGTTTATGGAGAGGAAAGAAAGAAACTAAACCAATTAAAACTAAGAATAGCACTTAAAAAATAATTTCCCATAAGATAATCTCTTTTGAGGAGCTTTTGAGCATATATGTGGCCAAAAAAATGTCATTTTAAAGTTATCTTCTGATCCTCTGCTCATGTTTCCCTCCAGTCCAGCAGGGGGCGGTAATGCGCATGTGCACTGGTTGACCGCCAATAAACTGAACTTCTCGTCTGCGTCCGGCGGGTCAGAGGTCGCTCAGCGCGCCTTCCATCCATCCATCCTCACACAACAAGGAGCAGCTCAGCGACTCACAAAAACTTCTACACCGACCGTCGCTCGGAGTTTGTCTTTAAAGCGGACATTTGAAGCTACAGGCGGACAGCCGCCGCCGCGGTCTCCACAGCGTGTCGGGGAGCTTTGCTAGCTGCTGCTAGCTTATCGGTTAGCTTGGCCGGACTCGTTAGCCGCCTCAGATGAGGAAATAACCGGATCATTAGCTCAACTTGAAGCTAGCTCAGCCGACGTTTCTTTGATCGGACGAACCGAAGCAAACATGCAGGACCTGCTGGCCAACGTGGACCACATCAAGTTCGACCTGGAGATCGCTGTGGAGCAGCAGCTGGGAGCGCAGCCGCTGCCCTTCCCCGGCATGGACAGTGAGTGCTGGGATGCTAGCTGGCGCTTAGCCGGTGTGGGTACAGGGGGTGAACGCTGAAAGTAACGGTGGGTAACGGCAGGTTAACGGCAGGTTAACGGCCAACTCACCGGTAGTTTAGTGCACGCAAGGCACTGTCATTTATAAATGATGGGAGCCGAAATGTTTTCCAGTAGCGAAATAGGAAACGTTACACGAGTTTAAATGCTAAGAGCCTCCAGATTAATTTAACTGTTGTGTATTAAAACCCGACAGAAATGATAGAAAACACAACTTTAACTGACTGTAATTCATTATTGAGGCTAGGATCCTACAATAGGTTACTTATGGACTGATTTTGAACTAAAGTTAAGCCTCTGCAAACATTTTTTTTTAAAAATTAAATTAATTTCATTCATTGAGTTAAAACAAAACAATTCAACATGACAGACATTCAACTCCTGAATGAAAGGCAGCAGAAAGAAGAATAATCTGATCTTATCTGCCTCCTTTACCCAAATAAATACATTTACAAAAAACTTACAAAAAGCATCAACAACAACACAATCAACATCAAAATATTCACAACAAACAGCAATAATAACACGAAGCAGCTGACAGTCACGTTTTACTTTAGATCCATTTTCTTTAATACTACATGATTATTTACTGTCTTTATAATCAGACATTATTAACACATCTCCTCAACATACCGGCTTTAATTGTTCTTTTAAATGTAAACATTGATTCTTTGGTTTCTTTGGTCAGATTGTTCCACAAACTGACTCCTTTCACAGAAACACAAACGCTCCGTCACGTTTGTTCTGAATCTGGGTTTTTTAAAAATCTCTTTTAAATCATAATTACTTTCTCAGCTTTTTTTGTACTTTTTCGTGTTGTTTTTCTTTTCTGTTCTTGTGTTGTGTTTTAAAGCTGTGATGATTTGTGTCCCTGCAGAATCCGGGTCTGCTGTGTGTGAGTTCTTCATGAGAGCAGCGTGTCTGAAAGGTAAAAACACGACACCACATGATTCAACGCCTGTGTCGCTCTCAGCTCTGCATCTGCATTTAGTGTCACACATTATGCAGCTAGTAATAATAATTAACTTTATTTCCGCAGCACCTTTCAGAGTCGGGCTGACAAAGTGCTTCACAAAGCATTAAAATGCATAAAAGAAGTAAAACATCAGTAAAGCATTGCAATCTTAAACAGACCAACAACCACGCATCAGGGCAGGAATGACAAATTTTAAAGATGTTTGTCTGTCAGGTGTGTTTTTATAAATGAGTACAGAGCCGCAACAGTTGATCAGGTAGCTGTGACATTAATCAACAACTACGTCGACAACTGCTTCATCGGTTTGAATGATTACATTGAGGATAAAAATGAAAAATCGTCAGATTCCTGCTTCATAAATGTGAATAATTTCTGGTTTCTTTCTTTCCTCCTGTATGACGGTAAACTAGATGTCTTTGGGTTGAGACGTTTGTCAGTCTGTCAGCCCTAAATAACACATTTGTCTGACATTTTGAAACCAGCAGAATGAGACTTTATGTTCTTAAAGGGTGACTTCAGCAGTTTGGTGTTTAACTTCCACAAAGGTGGGAACCCACAAGAGACAGATTAGACCTTTCTATCTGGTAAACACTCATCTGTGATCACTAACCTCCTTTCAAGCAAATGTAACGTCTCGTAGCCAAATACAAGCTAAAATCTGTACGACACAAATACAAATAAATGGATCCAGTAAGGAAGCTCAGTGGTTAGCACCGTCGCCTCGCAGCTAGAAGGTCGCTGGTTGGCGTCCCGGTGAGGACACCCGGGATCTTTCTGCGTGGAGTCTCCATGTTCTCCCCGTGCAGCGTGGGTTCTCTCCGGGTTCTCCGGCTTCCTCCCACAGTCCAGAAACATGCTGAGGTTAATTGGTGATTGTAAATTGTCCGTAGGTGTGAATGTGAGTGTGCTTGGTTGTCTGTCTCTAAGTGTAGCCCTGTGATAGACTGGTTACCTGTCCAGGTGAACCTGCCTTCACCCTGAGTCAGCTGGGATAGACTCCGCCCCCCACCACCCTAGTGAGGATGAAGGTGTAGAGATGATGGATGGACTTTTGATGCGTTTGTTTTAAGCGATCAGCAGGACGCTGACGGCCCTGTGGGTGTGGAGCAGAGCGTCATAGTGGGTGCTGTGTCTTGCAGGTGGGATGTGTCCGTTCCGTCACATCAGTGGAGAGAAGACGGTGGTGTGTAAGCACTGGCTCAGAGGACTGTGTAAGAAGGGAGACCAGTGCGAGTTCCTCCATGAATACGACATGACCAAGATGCCTGAATGCTACTTCTACTCCAAGTTTGGTTGGTTTCCTCGATGCTTCACTAAATAACAAAGATGTGCTCTGACTGTATTTGTGTTCAATCAGCGAGATGAGAATGTTTCCAAGTCTGTTCCTGGTCTAATGAATGCTCTGCTGTTGTTTTCATTTCTGCGCCGACCTTCACAGGCGAGTGCAGCAACAAGGAATGTCCCTTCCTGCACATTGATCCCGAGTCCAAGATCAAAGACTGTCCCTGGTACGACCGAGGCTTCTGCAAACACGGTAGGTCGAGCTCAGCGGTGGACGTAGACGTTCCAGCGGTTTTCGCCAGAACCTGATGTTTATAGACAGCAGCTGGTTTAAATAGAGAACCTCATGGCCGTCCTCTCTCCTGCCTCAGGTCCTGACTGCAGACACAGACACACAAGAAGAGTGATCTGTGTGAACTACCTGGTTGGCTTCTGTCCTGAAGGGAAATCCTGTAAATTTATGCAGTAAGTGATCCTTTTCATTAATGTCTACACAATATAAATCGTCTTTCTTGCTTTAGGATCCTGATATTTATCCATACATGACTTGTTTCACCGTTAGCTTCACCCTACAGCTTTGTAGACGGTGCTGCAGTTGTGTGTAACGGTGACGTTTTTTTTTTTTTTTGCAGCCCCCGGTTTGAGTTACCTATGGGAGCTTCTGAACAGCCTCCTTTGCCACAGCAAACCCAGAACCAGACAAAGGTAAGACAACGCATGTCCAACACCTAACACATGCAGTGAAGCCCATTTATCTTAGCCGTGCCAGATTTTGATTTATAGAGAATTAATTTTTGACCATTAAGTTTCTTTTACCTGGAAGTGGCACAAACAAAAGACAGAAAGTCAGAGGGTGTTGTAGAAAGAGAAATCACGATTAACCGTTCGGCCCTTGTGACCAGCGGACTGTAAAGTTTCTCTACTTCCTGTTTCAGCCTGTGCCTACCATCGGCCGTTCGTCCCTCTCCTTAATCCAGCTGACCAACTCCAGTCCAGGGCAGCGGCCGCAGAATAACGTAGCGTCTTCTGGTCAGCAGAACAACATGACGGCCAACAGAGGACCTCGTCCACTGGACCAGGTCACCTGCTACAAGGTGAGTCGTCTACTTCTGTCTGCTGAAGCTCCTCCAGAGTTTTGTTTTGGACACGAGTGTCTAGGCCATATCATACCGTGCACGGTGATACCGGTGTAATGTTAGGAAATTAAAATATTGCGATAAAATGTGAGTGAAACGTGCATGATGCCGTTGTTTTGGTCCGGTCTGATGCACATGGAGCGAGAAGCATGGTGGCGACTGAGGAGGAGGTGAATGCAGTTCATCGACCGACACAGTAGGGCTGGACCCGGATATCAGAATACTCGGTCGTGTTGGTGGAGTCCACATAGCAATTTTGAGATCCGAATATTTGCCTGCTGCCGTCACTGCCTGATGGTGGAAACAGAACTGTGACTGCTATCCTAAACCAGCATTAGCAGCAGTACTGCCTGTGCGTCCTGCCCACTTCCACCCCAGTTTATAACTGATGCACTATTGATTTTGGTTCGTTACAGCTTTAATGCACATCGAAAACAGCTGCTTGCTAAATGGAAAAGAAATTGTCCTTTTTTGTTTTATTTGCACCAATAAAGTTGTGCAGTTTTGAAGTATTTTGTCTGGCGTCAGTTACATCGTTATCAGGATTTTCTCATGTATATGGTGATAAATATTTTTGGCCACATCACCCTGCCCTACCAGTCTCTCTCTGTGGTAGTACACTACCTGCTAATAGTGGCCTTAAAGCAGCAAGTAGTGCAAAGTGGGTGTATTTTTTGTGCAGTGCCTGAATCAGGACCCACTTGTACGCCATTAATCTCTTACTTTCTCTGTCTTCTGGGTGTTTGCAGTGTGGTGAGAAGGGCCACTACGCCAACAAATGCACTAAAGGCCACCTCGCCTTCCTAAGCGGACAGTAACCTTCAGCGTCAAGGTCCAGACGCCTCGGTGCTGCAGCTCGCTGGCCCAGTGAGGAGACCAGGGGACGAGCAGCTGAAGAGAGGAGCCCCTAGGTTGAACCTAAAGACTCAAACTGGCACTTCTGTGTGCGACCTGACACAACACGTGGGAAAGATGAACACAGCTAATTCCAATTTTTTTTTTTTTTTTGCCTCTGACACACTGTGGACACATGAGAACTGGTTGAAAGACCCGATTTGTGGGTTCGTCGGCAGTTTTGTATTCAACAGAACACTTTATACTGAAGGAGTAGGCATTAAACACAGCAGCAGGTATCTCCGTGGAGGTGCTATCGTCACTTGCTGGTATTTATTTACTTGAGTCAAGTAAGTGCAAGTGCTACTATTCTGTATAATTTAAGTGAACCTGCCTGTAGATACAGACCTAACATGAACGCTGGGCTGGAAACCGTTTGAACTCACTTGTTATTAACCTGAGCCCACATCCAGACCCACCACCACCTCATGTTTTCTACATTTCAGCCTGGAACTAGTTCATTTAGCGGCCGGAGGTACATCGGATATGGGGGGGAGGGACAATATGGATCAGCTGGAGGACAAATTCAGCTTCGTCAGTACAAATAAATGTTCTTGTTACACATCTGCTTCTTGAACGTTCCTACAGCTGTTGTGTTAATTTGTGAGGTTCAGATGTGGCTACACGCTCTAAACAAGACACCCGACTGTTCAGCTTTAATGTTTATTTTATTGGTCACATATGAACAGAACCGAGTAGAAAGAACAGGACGAGCCAACAGGAGGCGTGATGGCTGCCGTCGGGCCTCAGTGGTACTTCCTCCAGCGGTCATGCTCTGCAAGAGAAGGAAGCAGATGATGGTTCAAATGTGAAAGTCGGATTCTTTTTGACAGGAGGGCAGAAATGTTGTATTGGAGGTAGAGGATAGACATGTCTTACTGATGTGATCGTATTCCCACACGTAGCTGAGGACCACGTAGCCGGCCAACAGCATCGCCAGACCACCGATGCCTCCTTTCTTCACATTGATGTACTTGTTGTAGTATCTGTCGTGGCCTAGAACAGTCGGGAAAAGAACAAACACCATGAACCATAACTGACAATGGATCAGCAGCAGGGCTCGGGGTGCTTTTCTGAATTTATAATTGAATTCTTAGTTCTGTGACCCGAATGGATCAACGTTGTTTTCCCACCTTTGGTAATTACTGCTGGGTGGAGCTGCACCAACAGATTGTCGACTATTTTGATAATAAACCTTTTTGTAAGAAAAAGTCCAAATTCTCTGGATGACACAAGAGATTTAGATCCAACAATAGTTTTGCTGTTGTAACATGAAATCTGTTGCCTCTGATCAGTTTCAGAACTGCGGAGCTAGAAACCCGTCGATCATTTAAAACGGTAAAAGAGGTCCATCAGAGGTAAAAGAAGAGCCGCTGCGTGTTCGCTCACCCCTGCGGACGGCTGAGATGAGGCCGTTGGGCGTGAAGTCTCGGCCTCCCAGCCAGGTGCCCAGCTCGCCCAGCTTCACATCCATCAGGCGCTTATCAACTACGGGAACTGATGACAAACACAAAGCGGACGTCAACAACATCACAATGCAGTCGGTCAGTTCTGAATGTTCACCAATAGCTCATCTGAAGTAAAAAAGGTGACATGACTGGACGTTTAAATACATTTAACAGTGCTAACACATGATCTCAAGTACAAACTCTAAATATTTGCAGCTTTGAACTTGTCGTGTTTGAACATGTGGGACTTAGATTCTCCTCCACATGCAATGTGAAGCTTGGGGGGAAAAAAATGCACTTTTTCTGTCATTCTGATTTGGTTAGTGATGTAACACGGAGGATGGTGTGAATTTGTAAAAGCTCTGACACTAGAGTTTAAATCCTGAGTCACACACGTTGTGTAAACAGCCATCTTTGTGGTTTGCTAACTGCATTTTTCCCCCTCAAGGTGCTATTTTGATTTGACATTGAGTAAGTTTACACCTCGGGTGAAGTCGTGACCCCACACCGAGGAGCTAAGATGGGCCTTTTCCTGCTAAGTTGTTTGTAGGCTAAACAATTAAGTAATTTAAATGTGCAATTCATAGCAACTCCCATTGCTTCGATGATGTCTCATGCTAACATTTGTACATTTATTTCACTATAAATTGTAGGTTTGCAGTGCTGCTCCACTACCTCATGTATATAAAGGATCAATAAGCCTGTGTTTACTGTTAGTAGCTCTATTTATTCCTGCACTAAACTTCAGGATCACCTTTAAGCATGTACATCTCCAGCTGCACACAGTGCTGTCGCCCTTGTTGTGAATGCATGTGTGTTTATAGTGCGAGTAGTTTAAGAGCAAAGACAAAACCACAGAATTCCCTGAATGTGTCACATGCTTGGTCAATAAAGCTGATTCTGAAGCTGGAATTAATGCATGATATCGCAAATCAAATATATATATTAAAAAAAAAAATCACAATCAAAGATTTTATCCATTTCGTTGAAGCATTAATAAAACTCATGTTTGCTAAAATAATCTGCAGCCGAATAGATGAAATATGGATTAAATGCAGCCAAAGTAGTCAACAAAGTCACTCGGTCGTAATCCAAGTATTCAGTCTTAAAATGCATAAATGTTGCTGCAGTGGCTCAAATTTGTCCCGTTTTTAGTGTTTTTATGTTTTAGGATCAGAATTAGCAGCAATGCGCTTCAGAGTCTGTGGCTCAATGTTGCACAGAGCTAGGAGGCTAAAGCTAGCTAACATAAAACACCGTGTAACAGCTCACATATGCAACGACAACATAATCACGACAGCTTCGTCCGCGCTGGAAGCAAAACCGACAGTTTCTGATCACAGCTAAACGTCCAGAACCAGAAACGAGCCGCAGATCGAGTTTAACTGCAAACCTGCCAATGACACGCAAAGTCCTTGACGGGACTCGGAGGTTTAATCGCGGCCTTCGGTCAGAAAAAAACACCTTCCGGTAAAACCTGACGGTCTGTCTGATCCTAAAACATCCACCAGTCCGTGAAAACCTCCACACGCCCGACACGAAACACAATAAAGAACATTTCATTGATTTTTCATCGCAACAAGGCGCGTTAACGGTACCTGGTCTGTCCGCCATCTTGACCGGAGGAGAGGGTTCTGTCACTGCGCCGCCGCAAAGGATGGTGGGAATATAAGGAGGAGGTGCATTATGGGAGATGGTGTATTTTATCCATAAAGCCACTAGAGGGCGGCAGAAGGAGTAAAACTAATTTTAGCACAGAACAAAGCAACAGAAGACGGATAATAACGACAGAGCTGAACTTAGACGTGTTTTAAGATATTTATTAAGATATGTATTGCTCATTTTGTACAGTTAGTTTATTTATTTTTTATTTTTTAATAATATTTGAACTTCAGCCCTTCCTTGTTGTGATTTGGTGTTTTTCTGTTTTGCTGCTGTATCGAAATAATTTCCCAGGTCTGGGATAAATAAAGTATGTCTATTCTATTAAAAACAACAGTAGGAACAGACTGTATTACTATGGCTCCGTTCATAACTAGAGTTCCACTGCACTTTACAAAAAATAGCAATTATTAAAACAGTAAAAAGGGTACGAAACAAACAAAGAAAGAAAAGACATTATAGAATATTATACAAATGAATGTGGATAGGTGGATTTCTAAAGCTTTTTAAATAGGAGGCCTGTTTAAGAAGTTCTGACAGTTCAGACCCGATTGTGCTCTCTGGCAGACTCATATAGACGTGTAAAAAGTAAAGGATTCAAGAGTCGAGAGAGAGATAGAAATAGCAGAAATAAATCAAATTGTTAAACAGTGCAAAAGACAATAAAATAAAGAAAGAAAATAATAAGATTATATGCATGTGTATATACAAGGTAAGTCTAGGCTTGGCTACGTTTTCCCACAAAATAATATCTAGGTATCCAGTTTGTTACTCAGCTAGAATCTGTTTAATTGGCTAAACTAGTTTCTTTTTAATTATACATTTAGACGATTTGATTGTCAACATAGCCTAGCAGCTAACTAGCCTGTTAGCTCGTCTGTTTCTCCAACTTCCTGGTGCACACAGTGCATTGCAAAAATGCAATTTGTCAGTATATTCTGAAAACAGAACAAAACCCAGCAGCTGCATTATGAGGACAATAGTGCTCAGCATGCAAACTGTAGAGGACCAGGAAAGTAGAATAATACCAACAACATGTCTGTGATGTCCACAGCATGTACGCTCATATATCTGGGTTTTAAACAGCTTTTCAGACATAACTAGCATTTTAATAGGTGTTTTTAGGAAACTGGCAAGTGTTGTTTTTTTCCATCATTTCATTAAGATAATGTTTATTGATTGCAGCCCTATAAAACTACTTCTCAAGCAATAGTAATGTAAAATAAACACATACTGATTTCAATGGCAGTGAAAAATGAATCTATTATATAGAAATATAAAAATGTTGAGTTAAAAGTTTACTCTAAAAGTATGAGCGTTGCATTTTTGCATTAATGTAAAATTTTACAATGTAATGTAAAAAGAAAGAAAGAAAGAAAGAAAACACCCCCCAGCTTTCTAAGTACGTATCTAAATATATCGTGCTGTGATTCCAGTGTTTCTGAACAACCCCATAAACCCCTCTCCTCTCACATCTCATGCATTTTGAAACAGCGACCTGAGGGGTTTACTACACTGTTGTCTCCCAACACTATCAGAGGAATCATTTTTCTTGGGGTGAAGCAGCCGATCAATGAGCAACAAAACAGCCGGCAGCACTTCTACGTAGTGCACCTGCCCCAAGACATAGTTAAGATCTTATTCAGGCTGCTGTTTGTGTTTGAGTCGAGGAGGTGGTGCCGTGGTAGTTCAGGTCCCTGATCAACACACCCACTGATCAATAAACCTCCCCCGCTTACACACACACACACACACACACACTGAGTGAATTAGGGTGTGTAGTTGTTCTCTGGCCTTCATCCAACATTCAGCCTCTTTCCTTTATGAGACTGGCTTTCCTGCCTCCCGCTAATGACTTTCATTAGATGGAGGACTCATATAGATGTCCAGCACCCACCTGACTTTTTTCCCTCTTTCGCTTTAGCTCTGCTTTTCTTTCCTGTGGGCGGATAGATGAATGCATCGTGTGTGTGTGTGTGTTCCACATGGATGAGTCTTTGCCCGTCTTTGATTCAGCTCTCTTAAATGCATATTGACCCAGATGCCATAAAAGTCCAGCCCAATTTGTTTTTGCTATATATTGGAAAAGAGGTTTAAGCCGAACACATGTGCACAGAAATAATAACTGTAAAAGCCGTCAGATATGATTTGCAGCTAAAGATAAGAACAAGACAACATTAAAATCGCTGGCAGGTGAAGTGAGAAACACTGATTATCTCGTTAGGACGGCGCCTGTCAGGAGGTGCAGCAAGTGAACAGATGGAGAAAAAATAGACAAGCATGAGCATCTTGAGAAAAGACAGGTCTTGTTGTTAGCATACAGCGCCTTGGTCCAAGGCAGGACAACAGCAGGAGTTCATCAGCGCCCCGGCTCACTGATGCACATGGGGAGTAACAGACGGCCTGTGGTTCACTCCTATAGAAGAGCTGAACACTTTAATGCTGCTGTAATAGGATAGAAGTGTCAAAACCATGAAGAACACACAGCTGCAGACAGGTCGTAGTGCCTCTGTCCACTGCCAAAGCATCTACAAATCCAGATTCTGCAGAGGTATGAATATTTTGGGGCTCTAAAGTTGCTCGGCATCAGCTAGACGAGTGAACGAGCAAATCTTATCCAACATTTCACTGTGTGATGATGCGTCTATGTTGTGCTCACGTCTCGCTCCTGCTGCTCAGAGGTTCTTGTGTTCACGATGAAAAGCTCAAATAAAGTTGGAGCTAGGAGGTGCTTAGCTTAGCTTAGCTTAGCTTAGCTTAGCACAGGGACTGCTAACAGGAAAACCCATCACATTCGACTCTGTCTGCCTCCCTGCACAACAGTATGAGTCTGCAGCACAGGAGGCTGCACTGGACAGCGCCACCTACCTCCATGGACGGTCATTAAACTGCACAACTTCCACTTTTAAAGGCTCATTACACCCGAAAAACAACAAACACACACCGATCTTTTCAACACGCCTTTATCATCTTCTGTAGTTTAATTAATGTGCTTGCCATAATTATCATTAACGAGGAGTTTAGAGGAACCAAAATCTCTGTACGGCTCCATTAAATAAACCTCAGTGGGTCTGCAGACACAAAGCTCACTAACATGACTCAGCATCATTTCTACAGTGTGCCAGATGTGCTAGACAGACCAGAGAGTCGGTGTCCCTGTCCGTTTTCATTCTGTTCTGTAATGCCGTCTGTACATTTAATTGGGGGAGACTCTAATTATCTCTATTTAGCTCCAAACCATTGATTTGCCAAATCAGCCGGCCGGGACGCAGCTCAGTCTGGCTGCTTCCTCGTGAAGGTCGCGTTCAGTCACACAGTCTGTTGAACAAACATCTTGTGTGATTTACACACAACCGCTGATCCAGTCCCATCACATGCCTCCAGAGGTGGCACAGTCCCAAACGCTCTCGTCAGACACCCACAGAAGCAAACATACGGAGAAATAAATGACTGACTGACACACACACACAGCCGCCGCGCAGCACAACACACACATCTGCACACAGATTTGATTTGGGCTCTAAAGGTTACCGACGACACTGTAGCGTAATCTCATTTAGGGAGTGAACTCATAACCACAAGTGACCCCGTGGTCCGGGTCCACCTGCTTGCTTATTGGTTTTGTTTGTTTGCTCCAGCGCCGCCTCGGGCCTCAGCGCACTTCAGACGAGTCTGCACACACACTCAGACACACACAGACAAAAGCACTAGAGGACGCATGATTTTATTCCACCTCAAGAGGCAGGTGCCCTGGAGGTCTGCCACAGAGACAGCGCTTTGAAGCTGATGGAGGGAGATGGAGGGAGCAGCAGAGGGAGGGGGCAGCAGAGGCAGTTGGTCTGTGTGAGGATGGAGGATAGGCAGCGAGAGGAAACACAGCCATGAGAGAGGGTGGAGGGGAGTACAAAAGGAGAAACTGGCAGCGGAAAGACAATGATGGAGGGAGATGAAGGATAAAAGAGAGAGAGGAGGCTGAGTCTGTGCACACAGCTCTCTGATTCACATGACCTTTAAACAGCCACTCTCGCTGCCACTCCCTCTTCATCCGTCCATCCTTCACCAGGCACATCGCTTTACATTTCTCACTTCCTTCTGTGTTTTCCTGCTCAAGAAATTTCACTTTTCCCCCATTTGTAACTGTGTCACGCCTTCATGTGTTTCCTACATCGATCCCTCGTCCTCTGCCGCTCTCCTCTGTCCCTCCGGCGGCACCATTTTTCATTCGTTTGCTTTTTATTGCGTTCGGTGTCATTTTGCCATCATCCTACTTCTCCTCTCACTGACCTCTGTGCCTCCCCGTCGCTTCTGTCAGGTACACAGTGTCGGATAGACCCAAAGACAGCAGGGATGGTTTGTGGGTAATGGGTTTATCAGTTCTCCTGTTACAACAATAATCACATTAGAGGTATGGAGATCGACAGGTGAGCTGCTAAAAGGAGCTCGTTGGCCTGATGAGGATCCCAGAGGAAGCCTGTGTGTGTTAGACAGCGATGGGATGGAAAAGGATAGAGAGGGAGAGTGAGAGAGGGTAGTACATGCGTAGAAACGCTCCACAGAGACCGTTTCATTCCTCGCAGCGATAATGGCTTCAGCCACTAAATCAAATTTTCCCATTTAAATTCACTCACACATATAAATGTAATGGGCACTAATGGCACACTGACTAATCGAAGCTGCACTTGTGCAGACTGCAAACTCAGAGGCACAGGACACCCTGAACAGTGCTTACACTGGGTAAGTAGAGTCTGTCGAATATTTTATTATTATGTCTTTATATATTAATCAATCAATCAAATTTGATTAGAAAACACTTTTCACACAAAGAGAAGGTGAAACAAAGCACTGTGCAGAACCAAAGGCAACAAAAAGCAGCAAGAACTATATCCTCCAACCACAAACCTCACAGGGACGGAGGAAATGAAGAAATAGCATCATAAAGTAATGCAAAGAGGAAACCGCAAGGTGGCTGCACAGCGGCTCGGTGGTTAGCACCGTGGCCTCACAGCTAGAAGGTCATGGTTTGCATCCC